GGTTCACAACCACGCCTGAAATCTCGATTATCACTTTATCATGCGAGAGTATAAAATGTTCGGTGACACCCGAACTTAGCCCTTCCTTACTTGTTTTTTATTATTATTTTCCACTAAAACTGTTTTTTTATTCCTATAACATGTGTTAAGGTTCTTTTTAACCAATGACTACTGTATTACAAAAAATTCCGATTGATAAGCGGCATATGCCCACAYATATTTTTGTGTATGTATTATGTATGCTTGCTTTACCACAAAGCGATAAGAACTATAATATTTATATCTGAGGAAATCCCAACTGAATATTTTAGTGATACATTTTAATACAGGGTGCGTACCGTACCGACAAACGATGCGATTGTACTTCCGCAGATTGTACTATAAAATTCTCAGAGTTTTTATAGATATGAAAAAATTAATTAAAATKATTTGGAATATGGAGATATTTCTAAATGGAGTTTCAACTAGAAGACCGACATGCCTAACATGTGAGATGAACCGCCCTAACTGAAGCTTAGTCCACAAGCATACAGGGTTTGTCCGGAAAGTGATAGGACCGAGTCGATTTAAATAGATTTAATAGAACCAATCGTTTCAATTATTTTAAAASTTTCAAAATAGGCTCCTTCTGCGTTGATGCAGCGCTGCCAGCGCGATTTYCAAGCATTGAAGGTCTCACGGAAGGCATTCTMTGRAACTTGGCGTTGACGGTTTGTCCAGGAGRAACAAATTCATGTTGGACGATGCCTTTGATGSCAAAAAAACCATGAGTATCGAGCACCACTCACAGGAACACGWCGCGCGAAAATGTTTGTCCTCACTCTCCAGGTGCTTCGCCCGCTACCGAATCTAGTCTATGTGCGCACGCTTTGAGGGACAGGTGCGGCGGAAAAGAAGCAATCATATTACTYTCCGGACAAACCCTGTATATCGCTTTCTATACGTGGGTATTCTCTGATTTCGCAGCATGCACAGAACGATCTGTAATTATCAGTTGAACTAACAGAAGCGCGGGAATGTTGATAATTCTGAAATCATAATAATATATTTACACACAAACGTACCACATAAATAATAACAAAGCAAAGTATATAATATGTATATTAAAGAAGCGAAATGCGCGAAAACAAACATGCGAAGATATGTGGCCTGATCAGTAGTGTACATCATTATTTCCTTTGGAATACTGAAAGCGGGCGGTTAATACACATCAAAGCGGGCGATTCCAAGCAACTAGTACCACATAGAACTGCTGGTATTTCACAATAAGGACTGCRGCGATGTTTCAATCGGTAGTAGCACACCTATCCGTCYCACAACCAATTCAACATGGAAGCAAAGTAAAGTTCTATGTGTTGATGATTTGTTGTTTGCTCAGCATAAAAGCCGCGACAGCGTTCACCATCACCGGCAGATATTGCCAGCGAAATGTTAGTGTGAAATATCAAGTACCAGTGCTGCATACGAATGAYCGCCAACATATACAGCGTASCGCAGATCTCAGTGATGTTTTGGAAACAGCAGAGCACAACACGCCCTTAGGCAACGTCACYGTAGCCAACGCCACCCAAAACTATCTCACATATGAACCGCGCGTACGCTGGGAAATCACCAAAGTGTGCTGTCCTGGCTACAGTCCACTGTTCTTCGGCTTTTGCGAACCCATCTGTGCTACTGGCTGCCCGCGCTACAGCCATTGTGCTACGCCCAATCAGTGTCATTGTTTGCCGGGTTACGAGGAGCATCATCCGAACAATAAGAAGCTGCATCAGCTGGATTGTCGGCCAGTCTGTGCTAAYGGCTGCCCGCGGCATAGTCAATGCGTGGCTCGAAATCGTTGTCATTGTAGTGAAGGCTTTCGGAATACCAACAAATGGTGGTTCCTGCCGTTGAAGTGCGAAGGCATAAAGTGCGCAGCGCCCGATCAGCGTTACGATGTCGCACAGCGCTTGTGCGTGAAGATAGAGATGAGTATGGAAGAATTGATGCGAAAGGTCGCTGAACGCTTAACAAAAGGTTTGACTAATGCTACGGTGTACGATAGTGGAGAGCAAAGTAGTGATGAAGARGCATCTAGTGAAGAGATGGATAATAAAATTGTGCCAGAGATTAATACGTAATGTACGTTTGTAGATTTAGACGTAGGTAGTTTCGAGAGTTTTAACCCCATAAGAAGGATGTCAAAATTTTTTTTATTAAAACTAAGCTTGTGTTTATATGTTCTAATGTAAATAAGAGGTTTAAGTAAAGCGAATAAATGTGGACTATAATATATATAGAAATATATTTACTACATGTTCTCATATAAAGGTAATAAATACCGTCATCTAAGAGAGTTTCATTCTCTGGTAGAACACCCASAGGTGATCTAGTAATCGATGCCCAGAGTATACTAAAATTATGGAGGGAATACTTTTCCAGCCTGCTGAATGGCAGTGAAAGCATAACACCAGGAGACTCCTCTTTTACTGGCGATGGGGTAGACGTTCCATTGTCCGACCATGAAGAAGTTCTAAAAGCAATTACCGCTCAGAAATACAAYAAAGCGGCKGGGGCCGATGGATTGCCGTCCGAGTTATTCAAGCACGGCTACGAGGAACTGGTAAGGAGCATGCATCAGTTTCTTTGTAGAATTTGGTCGCATAAAAGCATGCCCAGACCCAACAATCTGCGCCCACTACTGTGGGATAAGCCTTCTCAACATCGCATATAAGGTTCCACCGCCGCCGCCACCACCGAAGACATCAACCAGCTGGGCAGCGGCATCAGGGCCCGGACATTCCAAGTGAATGCCCTCAAATCGTTATCTTTATTTCGTTTGCTATGGTCATCAAAATAGGGGTCGGGGGTCTTTCATCCAGGCTGTTTTTTATATGATAGGTTCCAAACACAGCGGCCAATCCTCTGAAAGCGATGTTTCGAATCCTCACTTTAGCTCGCCTTCAAACGGACGTTCTTAGGCTGCCGAGGGGATACTTAGTCAAAGACCGTAAGATGACTCCATCCTCCAGGATTTAGCCAAATCAACAACTGACCAGATATTTACCATGCACCAAACTTTGTAAAAGTCCCGTGAAAAGAGAATCGACCGAAGTAAAGTCCTCTGTCGACGAACAAAGACCAAACTCTATAAGACACTCATCATTCCCGACCTAGGTTATGGTTCAGAGGCATAGACAATGACATGATAAGTCGATGGTACGAGTTTTCTAAAAGAAGAAACGATTGGCGCGCTGTTGTTAACTCGGCTATAACTGCGTAAGCGATGTCTACGCCATTAAAGAAGAAGAAGATCATTGAAACCACTATTGTGTGTACTAATCGCTGTGCAAAGAAGCAATCTAAAATCTATTCTTTTTCATTAGAATATGATATTTTCACTCGTAATAAGTCCGAAAATAAATACTACAAAAGGGGATTATAGTCTCAACTAATGATAATTTTCTTTAAATTCACCATAATTTTGAGTTGAAATAATTTTTATTAAATAAGGTGTTTATAATAGCACAAAATTGAAAGTAATTAAATTTCGACGGGAAGGCAGCTCTCAGAAAACACTTATCAAATCGTAATAATCCATGGAAAACCCATCCAGTCCAACAACAAGGAAGTTATTGTTACTTCATACAAAGTAGTGGATTATTTAAATACGGAGGGCATACAAAACAACAAAAATGTTGAAAATATGTTGCGGTTTTGTCTGGAAAATCCAGAATAATGGAGCACTTTGTACAATGTTGTATTTATTTCTTACGTATACAACATAAACAGGGTGCGTGTTATGACAGTTTGATTCACGATGTTTTTGTAAATAGCCGCTTTACTGGTTAGCTGAAGGATGGTGTTCCGAAGTGGAACCCTTTTTAGTGGTCTTATACCCATTTAAAGAGAGTTTTTGCACGGCACTTTGGGCGCGGGCGCTTCGTATAAAAACTTGCTATCGTCTTCAGCTCAGCCTGTTCAACATTTTCTATTTGTTTTAAAATATTTCACAGCACTGTATATTAACGTCTGATTGTRACTAGAAGCAAAATATAATATTTTAGTGGTTTATTATATTATACATTTATTTGCAATGAAAGATTTTTTTGACCACAACAAATTTTCGTTTTATATGCTTGAATTCAATCTTGAAGTTTTCAGTGCATATTGTGGATTTGAGCGAAACTATTGTAATACAAGTTGTGCTGAAGAGATTTTCAGCAATCACAAGGAATCCTAACTGTGTATTTTACCCAAATTTATTTCTTATTTTGAGATGCGTTTCGAAAATTTAATAACGCTGACGGCCAGCTTCATTTTATTCGGAAGTGTTTCGGCCGATTTGAGTTCAAATATCGAGAAACTGCGGAAAATTCGTAAAAATCAGATCTTGAATAGGTCGGAAGGACAAAATGATTACAACAAATATGAGACAAATGTTGCGGGAGAGGTCAGTTTTCACAACTTATGGTATAATTTAGTGTAAAATAAAATGATTATATGCTTGTCAGTGATCACAGAAATGAAAGAATTAAATAACATGTAGTGCTTAAGTATCGAGTATAGAGGAGAATCTCTCGTCAAATATAAATTTTTTTGCCCCGTATATAAGCCTTACACATTAACTTGTGAACGCAATTATTTTCGACATGAAAAACGTTAATTCGGTTGCATTGAAGCGCTTACAAATTAAAAAAAAAAAAAACTAACTAATAACTCGAACTCTTCATTTAGCAATAGAAGTCAAATGGCATACATATGCCCTGCCATTACTCGAAGYTTTTTGTAGATTATGGTGATTCGTATGCCAAATCTGCAGGACYATTTTCTCAATGTCTGGTTAGCAGCCACTTGTTAGTAAAGTTCTGGTAAACTTAACTAAGATTTCTTCTTTCGGTAAAGAGTCTCTTCTGACTAGAACTAGAACTGACAGATGCTATTAACCTAACTGAGAGAACAGCCTTAAATTTTTTAATTTTTCCATTGACATTTATTAKTATGAACATATTCAAAATTAAACCTCAAATACAATCCCCTGGATTCTTGTAGCAACGAAAATGTTTTCGCTCTTATGCGTAAATGAAATTTTCACTGTATGGAATAGTTTAKCATATGAATAATAGTACACAATGTATACCAKGGCAACGCGTGGCCAGATCCACTAGTATCCTTACAAGTTTTATGTGGCTTTCGATATTATATACCYATTTCACGATTTTAAATTGCTTTTACCTACTCACGGCTACCAATAGATTTTACGATTTCAAAATAAATAAATTCGCCGAAGCTATTGAACTCAGCCAAAGTTAAAATTTTTGCTTTATTTTATAACTAAACTCTCTTATTCGGTTTCAAGTTTTTCAGGTCTATAGTATGTAGTATAAATATACTATGTGTATGTAGTTTACATATTATTGTGGTGATAGTTTAACGTTAGGACGTTAACTCCGCCCAATGACAAAAAATAAAAACCCTAATTTGCGTCAATATTTAATAATAAATAACTACTATATTCCTTTCCTTTTGCTTTATATACGTACAGKTATGTGGAGAGGGCTATGAGGCAAGATTTTGCAACGAAACTGTATTTTCTTGTGWACCCGTGTGTCCTGCAGGCTGCGAAAATGGCACGTGCATCGCGCCGGGTATTTGCGATTGTGCGGAAGGCTACGAGTTGCGCAGTATTGCGGAAAAGACTGTATGTATACCGTTACATCTAAATAACGATGTGAGGCTAACAGAAGAACATGCATTAAGCAAACGGAACGCTGAGGCTACTGCTGATTTCAGTATGTGTTCCTGTCAATGCTGGAGATATGATTCCGAAAACTTCTGCATGAAACTTTGCGAGTCAGAAAATAATCAGTGTCTGGACCAGAAGTTCTCRGTTTGCCATGAGTCGAATCAATCTATAGTTTATAAAAAGGACAGTGCGAATTGGAAAGTATACCATTGTGCTGATAATGCGATGGATGCTAAAAATGCCGCTTATATTAAAAAGGCGCGTTGGATCATTACTATCGGCTGCATTTTTATTGGAATCATGTTGATCCCCATCGTTTATCTGTGTGTGCGTATATATCAAACTCGACATGAGACAGGTGGGTCGCTTAGTCGATGTAGTCAATTTTGTTATAGAAAATAAAATTTCATATAATATTTTGTTTTTCAGGTGCACATGATATYCCCATAAGCTTACTTATGAAGTTTTGAGATGACTTTTTGGCGGCGCGACGCRGAGTATATTATTTATAGCATAATGCAGTATTTAACGAGTTTAAAATATAAATAAAAATCATTGAAAACAACTACAACGTAACGAGATTAAATTTAACCCTTTAGTCCCTGAATACCAATTTCGCGTATGTAATCAAAATACTAGATTAGAATAACTATATTGCATCAACATATAACATTTCTTTTGAAATAATTTTAAAAAAATGTTTAGGGAACCCATGGGGTAAGGGGGAGTGTTGGTACATATGGGCACCAGTAGGGTTTTTATCTGGTACAAATATGTACCAACAGGTAAGAAGAAGCTAACAACTTTTTATATATTTTTTAGTGTTACTCATATATTTTGCAAATGTATTAGTTTATTTTGTATGATACAGCTTGAAATAATCTTTACACAACGGTACATTACATTCATCGCAAATCGTTTTGGTTCTTTTTTGGATTTTCATTACCGAACAACGAGTACAGCGTCTTCTAACGGCAAATTCTATAGGGAGATGTAATGCTGATCCATAAAGTTTTCTTTTCTTCCAAATTGGACCTCTTTTTGGTAATGGTAACTCAGTAGTATTTTTTCCTTCGGCAATCAATTCCTCGGCAAGATTCATCACATATGTTAGATAAGGAACTTTCTCATTCTTACACCTCAAGTCGTTGTAAATAATCCATGCGTTTGTTGTACACATCCCAAGGCGAGTATAAAACACTTTTTTCCACCACTTCGAGGACTTTCTGTCGTGATGGTAGAGACTTATGAATTGATCTGCGTGGTCAACTCCTCCCATTTTTTGCCGATAGAATGCAATTGCTTCCCGGCAGTCAATTTCCTCTGTTTGGCCTGTCTTATCCTTTTTTGAAATTTTAGTTACTTTAGGTTTATGACAACTACTCATTAATAAGACTTCCTTCGTATCTTGCCACTTCGTACACCAAAGTCCCGTGTCGGTGCATCTGAACTTCAATTCTCCTCGTTTGAGTTTTCCTGTTATTGATGGTACATTTTTGCGATTAGTCATGCAGGTGCCAACCGCCGCAAAATTGATAGTTTCCAGTAAATTTACACTGGTGAAAAAGCGATCAAGGCATAGAACAACGTCAGGAACTTTAATTGTTCCGACAAGTGTCTTAACAACTTTTTCTCCAAGAGTTAATGCATCGCTACTTACTTCTGTACCTTTACCAATGTACACATTGAGATCATATGTATATCCAGAATCGGCATCGCAACGAAGCTATAGTTTGATAACTCGTTTGATTGGTTTCATGGGCACCTATTACTTTAGAGAAGAACGTCCCTTGAACCTAGTCATACTCTCATCAATGCTCTGGAATGGACTATCTTGACGACATTTACTAAAGCTGTGTTTCCAACGGGAAATCAAGTCATCGACATAATATGATTTTGTGGCATCCGGTGGTTTATTTGGCTGGGAAAGGTAAAGCTTGGAAGTAAGGACCATAGATCTATCACGAGAAATACAGTTTTCTATTGTTCGATTTCCCATAGATTCTTTTTGACTCCAATAATGCTTTAGTCCAGGAAGCTTATTATATGACATGATAAGCATACATCCTATAATTTTTTGCATTTCATCCTTATCTGTTAGTTTTATCATTTTTTGTTGTTGCCCTTTACACTTGTTCAATAACTCAAGTCGTTGATTAGCGACTATATGTAAATATAAGGAATGCGGAAAGAGTTTATGGAAAATTTCCATTGCAGTGGATTGTTTTGATACATCACATACACTGGACCTTTGTAGTGGAATAGTTTTGGCAGGACGGAATGAATCGCTCGGTTCAAACCAATCAAAAATGCGATTGATGATATTAGGTTGAAAACATTCAGCTTCAGATTCTGTAGATGAATCCTCAGAAACATGCAATGGGTTTTTTGGCTGGCTGTGATGTTGACGACTCCTGAAAATCACTTTGAATATATTCAAACTCATTCTCATTTTCTGATGCAGTTTCTTCTTCACTATCTTCAAATGATGAATCTGTTTTATCTTCACTAGGATCATATTCGTCAGATGAACCCGCAGAAAAATCCGACAGACTTTCAACCACTTTCTCTTCGGAAATAAAACAAATGTTTACAATGTCACTTCTGATTCGCCCTTTTTTTACTAAAAATCACTTGTAATTACACATTCAGCTCCGATAACACGTGGGTAAGAGACAAACTGTAAAACTTACGCCTGCCATACTTTCAAAAATATTTAGAGTTACCGGCTGGTATAATTTTATACCGTTTTTAGAGCAATTTAAGACTTTAAGGGTATTTAAAATTGCGCTGGTAAATATGTGTACCACTCGGGACGAAAGGGTTAAGTGAAATTATTATAGGAGTAGGAGCGAGGAACACAGTTCAAAAAAACTAGAACTAGTAGAGTTTAATCAAATTTNTAGAACAACACCTGAGGAGTATTTCGAATTTTGTAACATCGTTTTTTCTTGTAATTAAATATTAATTTTAGAAGGTTATTATAATTGCATTGAACTTCTATCACAAATCAAGTAAATCAAATAATGTCTCCTTGAAATATGCAACGTTTTCTTGCTATATTTTACTTAAAATAATTCATGATTATTGAAGAAATACAGTGTGCCTAAATATGTGTTCTAGTAAGACACACGAACACAAAAAAAAAACTCTTAAGTGAATTTGTATGACAGCTATAGGTTATAGGGACTTCGTATGAATGATTTCTTCCGAGTTTRCACCACTGTCCCAGGAAAATACGGAATGCCTAACTTCGTGAAGATATAGCATCAAACGAAAAAGTTGTTCATACCAACGCTTGATTCCAATTCCCTGAGAGACCTTGCCAATATCTTAGCCAGTAATCCATAGTAAATTGCTTGAAATCTCGTTAAATAAAACAGTTGTCCAAGCAGTCACTTGATATCAAGTGTTCAGCTTGCATGGCTATAGTGGTCTGATATCATCAGGTCGTGTGCAAAATTTTAAATCCATATCTTAAAATATGTGGCGCTAGTTCGCATATATACGTACAGAAAAATGGATACACAAACAGACGGACACGACTCAGCCCATCGCGCTGATTATTAAAATTAATTAAATTTTACAGAGCCTGCGCCTTTCCTTCTATGTTCTACAAACATCGTTGCAAACATATTATACTCTATTCGGWGTATAAAATTGTGTTCTAGTTAAAAATAGTATAGCATTTTTTCAGGGGACTGAATCTCCAACTTTTTATRTACAGGGTTTGTCCGGGAAGTAATAAGACTGAGCCGATTTAAAAAAATTTGTTGAACTAATCGTTTCAATTATTTTAAAACCTTCCAAATTTTCTGCTTCTGCGTCGATCCAGCGCGATGTCCAAGCATTGAAGGCGTTACGAAAAGCATACACTTTTGAGCTGAGATGCATGCTGCTTGGATCCCCTCTGCCGTCTCAAAATGCTTGGCCTACTTCGGCCTTTTCAGGCAAGGAAACCACAAAAGTCCGGGGGTGCTGGGCGGAAGCGTTGGGATGCCGGCCTTGATTAAGAAGCTGTTAGCAAGAAAGAAGGTGTGAGACGGGGTGTTGTCGTGGTGCAACTTCCAATCRGCTGTGATGTCGGACCCGATGGACGCATCGTTTAAGTCCTTTGATGACTTCCACGTAAAACTTGGCGTTGACAGTTTGGCCAGAAGGAACGAATTCATGATGGACGATGCCTTTGATGAAGAGGCAATGCGGATCGTTTTCACTTTGGATTTGCTCATTCAAAACTCAGAACTCAAACTCAAACTTCAGAACTTCATCAAAAACATCTTCCCGGCGGTCAGGAGCCACCAAAGCACACCACTTCTTGCTAAAGCAACATCTTGGTAAGCCTGTTTAATCATATCAAACGTCTCTGTCGCAGATTTGCCAAGTTTCACACATAATTCGCGCGAAAATGTTTGTTCTGATTATCCAGGTCCTTGTAGACAACTGCCCAGCCGCTCGTTCGTTACTTAAGAACGCCCTCTACCGAATGCAGTCGGTGCGCGCACGCTCTGTAGTACATTCGAGGCGAAAGAAAATCAGTCATATTATTTTCCGGACAAACCCTGTATAACGCAATATCTTCTGCATTAGAAAATAATACTATGGCTTTCTCAATCAAAGWAAGGGATAATTTTAAGCCTAGCACTGAAGAAATTTTTGGTATGGCATAGAGTTCGGGCACAATTTATCACGAGGTTTAGAATTAATATTTTATATTTATTATAATAATTTTAACGTTTTTATAATTACTATCACAAGACAACTAAGTTTATCACACATATATCCACAAAACTAAAGGAAATATGCTAGCATGTTACTAAAACTAATTGGGCACACATTGTGTCGATCGTTCATGATATGTAAAGCCGGGATTGCAGATGCAGCGATTGTTGCTATAACAAATGCCATTGTCGCATTTCCTAAAAAGAAAAATTGGAATTATTGTGCTGGGAATATATGTACAGTGTATGCGTTGGTGCGGTACTCACTGATAACACTCGCGCTGGCACACACCATCCTTGAGTTCATAGCCCGGTGTACAGTAGCATACGTTCGGCTCACGGCACTCGCCACCCTCACCGCAATCCGGATCGCATGCTGCCACACAGCCATCATTTGTTAGTTGGTAACCCTTCGCACAGCCACACACCTCCGGTTCGGTGCAATTGTGACGCGGATTCATGCCACAGCCGTTGCTGCAAATGGGTCGACAAAATTTGCGGGTCTCATCCAACTTAAAGCCGGCGTCACACTGGCAGGTGCCATCAAGAAAGCAGCGTCCGTTCAGACAACCCAGCGGACAAGCGAAAACACAATCGCCATTATCGTTTGCGACGAAATTATCGAAGCATTCGCATACATTGGGCGCAATACAGCGTCCGTTTCGGCAATTCTCACACAGTGGCTGGCAGAGTGTATTGCCGCGCCAACGTAATGGCGCATAGCCAGCGCAGCAGACTAGAAGTTTTTGCTGTTGATTGCGTTGATCCAATTGAACGCGTTGCGCATAAGGATATTTGTTGATCAGCTCCACGCTGGAATGACATGACGGGGAATAATACGATTAATATTGTTACAAAATGTTATAGAAACGAAAGTTCGTTCGCTTTCGGGATTTCGAAAATTGACGAAATCTCGTCAATAGATGTCGTTGCAGTTCTATGTCTTCAGTTATACCATACCAGGTGGACTCTGATCGACCTGTCGTTTTGAAAGTTGATGAAATTATGGAAAATATTGACCAGGGCCATCACATAAGCAGCCATGACTTCGCTAAGGAACTTGACATTCGTCATCAAAATGTTTGGGACCATTTAAAGAAGTCTAGCTACAAAATGAAGCTCGATATTTGGGTACCACATGAATTTTCTGTGAAAAATTTATGGGACCGAATTAACATTTGCGATTCTTTGCTGAAACGAAATGAAATCAAATCATTTCTAAAGCGAATGGTAACAGGGAACGAAAAGTGTATTAAGTACGACAATAATGTGCGAAAAAGATCATGGTCTAAGCGTGGTGAAGCTCAGAAAATGGTCGCAAAGCCAGGATTGACGCCTCGAAAGGTTATGCTGAGTGTTTGGTCGGTTTGGAAAGAAATTATCCACTATGAGCTGYTCCAGCCTGGTCGAACGATTGATTCTACATTTTATTCTTAACAACTAATGAGATTRGAGCAAGCAATTGAAAAAACGACCAGAACTGATCAACGGAAAGGGACTTTGTCTTCTATCAAGACAACATCCTTGATGACTCGGTAAAAACTGGGAGAGCTTGGGTGGGAAGTTTTGATACATCCACATATACATGTATCACTGATGGGACTACAATTTGTTTCGGTCAATGCTGAACTCTCTTAATGGAGTAAAGTTGGTTTCAAGAGAAGCCGAAAATTACTTCGTCGCAGTTTTAGACTGATAATGTCTCTAGCGGAACTGACCTGAACAATTTTTTCGCAGTTTATATTATTACACTTAAACGGTAATCCATGTCAAATTTCGTGAAGATATCACGTTAAATGAGGAAGTTTCCCATGCAAGCATTTGATTCCGATCATTCAGTTTGTATGGCARCWATATGCTATAGTGGTCCGATATCGGCAGTTCCGACAAATGAGTAGCTTCTTGAAAAGAAAATTAAGTTTCACAACGATATCTTAAAAACTGAGAGAATAGTTCGTATATATACAGACAGACGGACGGATAGCATTCGGACATGGCTAAATCGACTCAGGTCAACATACTGATCATTTATATATACACTTTATGAGGTCTCCGACGCTTCCTTCTGGGTGTTAAAAACTTCGTGACAAACTTAATATACCCTGCTCTAGGTTGAAGTTTGATTAAAATACGAAAATACGAAAATATTTTTTCGACTACCCTATATATAATATGATTGGTGGTGATAGAGATCTAAATACGTATCAATCCTTAATTATATTTTAACTCATCATCATTCACAAAATGAGCATAAAATAATGCCAAACCCTTCCGATTTAATACCGAACACCATTGTCTATTGATTACATTATCGCCTAAAGCAAAACATGAAAGTTTCTAAGACTGGCCYAATCAAATCAACTCATGACCTTCARWTG